CTTCGAACTACCATCACCTCACTCTATGCCATATTCGACTACTTTCACAGTACTCACCTCACCTTTTTTTCTACCTTTGTGTCTGCCTCTTTTACATCTTTGAAACACTCCCCCCCTCTCTCTCGACATTTTTCACTTTGATGTTCCTTCCCCTCTGTGAAGCCTGAAGTCAACTAAAGGGGTAATGGTAACCATCAAAACGCTTGCCATTTGATATAAATAAATGATGTAGGTTGCTAAGGCATTTGTCATTCCTATTCAAAAATGGGGGCATTGTAGGACACGTCATCGCATGTCTGCACGCCAGGATTGGGAGGTGTGACCGTACAAACAGTGTACACGTTATATACAATGTACTTGCTGAATAAACGGGGTCCATGCTACAAGTCTGTTTCCTTTCATAGCTGGGGTATAGCTTAGCTGGTTCTGGGAGTCTAGCTAGGTGTTGGAGAATCCGCCACAGAGATTTCTGAGTCGGTTAGGCTTTACTAAGGTAGCAATCCTCTACAGCATTCAGATGGAATTCTATCATTAGTAGAGTGACTCCAATAAATCTTTTCTGTATCTGAGTTTTAGGATTCTAGCACTTTTAAAAAATTATTCTTCTGAACGGATACGTGGCATTATGTGAGTTTTTTGTTGATAACTTCCACATACTCCTTAAATTCGTTCATTTTGCCCCTAAAACTATAAAATGGATCTTGGATAAATCCTTAGTCTCGTTGATGTACCACTTAAACTAGCTGTGAGCATCATTCGATGTACATGATTTTCGTTCAAACATCACCTTGGAATTCTAGTCAGTATATCAAATTGTTGACATATTCACAAATCAAAATGTTCAAGGTCATGTCCAATCAAGCAGTGAGAAAATATTAACTACACTTATTTGAACTAGGAAAGTAAGCCCAATTCCCCAGAGCCGCGTATTCAAAATCCTACTACTCAACCCCAATTAGATGGGTATGCATTTGGAATCAGTTAATTCATCCTTATTTGTTTTTTTCTACCCCTGTCGTATTTGCACCTTTTAGCTGAAAATCAACAAGCCGGTTCATCTCAGACCCCACACCAAAATAAGGTCAGATTTTTTAGCACTATCAACATAGACGAACTGGCTGCTATTATAGCTTCGAAGGGACGAGACAATGTTCGTTCCTCGAGGTGGTTTGAACAAAACGAAGTAGTTAGAAGAGCTATGGGTTCTAACGCTTGGCCTATATCTGATCAGCCAATTCCCAGTAAAAATGGAAGAGATGAAGTGTTATCTATTGGAGAGGAATATTTTCTCATTATTAATGAACGATTCGACAATATCTTACGTTTTCCATGTCGACTAGATTATATCTCTCATTTTCTGTAAGTGTACTTACCTGATCGATTTTTTTCATTTAATTATGATGCGCTCTTTTTTCAGAAGCTATTATTTTTCGGAGAAAAACTTGAGTAAAGACAAGTATATGATGGATGTTATAACAACTAATGATGGTATGTACCCATTGGAAAATCTCCTTCAATTTTCCCGACTTCATGCTATTAAAGCAACTCAATCAGAATTGCGCGAGAGTTCCAAAAATATCGACAGCATTATTTTTGCTCTGCATAATGGAGCTCCTGTTTTCAAAGTGCTTTGCCTCTATGTGTTAAATCGACTTGCCAACAACAAAGCGACATCACCAATTAGAACTAGGGGGAGTTTGAGTCTTCTTCCTGTTACCTATCCTAATATCCCCCAACTTCCCGATATTCCTTCCCCGAATGGTCTCACACGTCTTCAACTTCTACAATTGTTCAATCCTCCCACACCAGCGCCAATAACACCAATGTTAACGCCAAATTTGCCTTCACAACAGCACCGTTCTCAGGAGACGAATTCTTCCCAGGGGATGTTTACACCAGGACCAGTTTCTCAATCACTGCCACCACAACACGTGGTGCGCCCAAACAATCCAAGATTTTCAAGAGGTGGCAGAAGAGTCTGACACTTTGGCCGGAACTGATTTGTTATTTAAAATAAATACGGAACAAAGTACGGATCTCATTATTAATCACTCATTAGTTCTTTAACTGTTTGTTTGCACTTATAATGTGGAAGATTAAGCGATTTAACTCACCTTTAATATTCCGTTTGAAAGCGATATTTGCATGCAATTGAGAATTTAATGATTTCAGTTAGATGCATCTTTTAAATTCATTGCACTGACGAAACATGTGGCTACTTTTGTAAAAAAGTAGTTTATACAGTCGAGGTTTAGAGGTTGTCTAGTCGGGCCCTACCGCTTCAGCTCAAGTTGATTCAATGAGTTGGCAGTGTCAAGTGAATTCAATTGACTTAATCACACAACTCATATGACAGCTTTCGAATCAAATAGTAAGGCTTGAAGTAGGAAGTAGATAAATACTATAAGTGAAACCTTTTGAACGTATGTGTTAAAATAGAATTACATAGAGCACTGAAATTTCCATCGTCATGAGTTGCATTGTTTTTGTTTCTTTACCTTCTACAACTTACGGGTGACATGATTTTGAAGAGAAGTGTGTGTGTGTGTGTTCCTATCGCCAGAAAATGCCTCCCTTCTTCATCTCTTATCTTCTTACCTAGCTGCCAGCCATCTTTATAGACGCCGTAAATAACTTATACAGTGCGAAATCTCCCCTGAGTCGTAACACGCTTCTGCCACGCACACACACACACACACACATGGACGACTCTTTGCACTCCTAACTGTTGGAAATTGTTCAGTCACCTCCTCTTTCACTGAAGCTCCAACTAAGCGTGCAGTCCACCCTCTCTCTCTCTCTCTCTCTCTCTCTCTCCCTCTCCCTATTTATTTAATGCTCCAAATATTTCGTCCCCCACAGATTCACCAATTTCATCAATTTTCAAATCCCAAGAGAAGACTTCCTTTAATACCAATAGAAGGAATATAAATGGGAATGATGCGCAAAGGAAGGGAATGGAAAAGATGCAAAAAAGTTAATTGGATGAATCCACTATAGTAATGTACTATTAGGTTGGCAACTAAGTCATTGCCGATTTCAAATAAGAAGGCAAATTCGGAATTTTTGTTTAAAAATATAACTTTATTCAATTAGATATTGGCCGTTCTTGTCGATGATCTTTTTCCATCCTTCTGGCAGAGTAAAAATTCCCCTTTCGTAAAATGTCTGGTCTTTGCTATTAAAAAACTGAATTAGGTGTGATCCGACATCATCCGCGTTGTTAAAAATTTTGCCATTTAAAGAGTTTGGCATGGAACGAATCAAATGGTAATCCGAAGGCGCAAGGTGAGGGCTATATGGTGGGTGCGACAAAACATCCCAACCCAGTTCCAATCATTTTTTTCGAGTAACCAAAGATGTGTGGGGCCTTGCGTTATCATGATGGAAAACAACACCCTTCCGCCGATTTGATAATGCCGGCCGCTTATCTTCAATTGCATCCTTCACTTTTTTGAGTTCTTCAACATACACATTTGAATTTATCGTTTGGTTCTGTGGCATGAGTTCAAAATACAAAATTCCTTTGTGATCCCCCACCAGACTGACAGCATAATCTTTTTTGGTGAATCTCTGCTGCTTTTGATACTGTTTGGGCTGGTTGATCTTGCTTCACCCATGATCTCTTGCCAGTAACATCGTTATAAACTATCCACTTTTCGTCGCCAGTAACTAGGTTCTTCAGAAATGGATCATTCTCATTGCGTTTCAGTAGCGGCGAATCACAGATGCTAATCCGTTGCGTCAACTGAATTTCCTTTAACTGGTGAGGGATCCATAAATCAAGTTTCTTCACATAACCAAGGGTTTTTAATTTTTTTCAATGCATGTATGCGACACATTGAGCTTCTCTGCAATATCTCGTGTTGCGCTGTGACGATTTGAATNTTAGCTTTGTGTCAAACGTCACTCCGAGATGAGTACTTTAAATAGGATTTATGTTGTGATGGCTGGGGTGTACGATTGACTTACCTCCACGTGGTGCACACTGGGCAACGTACACTCACACCTTACCTCCACGTGGTGCACCCTGGGCAACGTATTCTCATTCGGCTACCTCCACGTGGTGCACCCTGGGCAATGTATACTCATACACCTCCACGTGGTGCACCCTGGGCAACGTATACTCACGATAGACTTACCTCCAGGTGGTGCACCCTGGACAACGTATACTCAAACGGCACGTGGTGCACCCTGGGCAACGTATACTCATACGGCTCCACGTGGTGCACCCTGGGCAACGTTTACTCATACGGCTCCACGTGGTGCACCCTGGGCAACGTATACTCATAAGGCACCACGTGGTGCACCCTGGGCAACGTGTACTCATACGGCAAGTAAGTCTATCACGTGGTGCACCCTGGGCAACGTATACTCATACGGCAAACAAACGTGGTGCACCCTGGGCAACGCATACTCATACGGCAAAATGTGGTGCACCCTGGGCAACGTATACTCATAAGGCAAAAAGATCCCTATTAACCGGCAGTTGACTTCTGACTTCAAACTACCATACTATTAATCGGCAGTTGACTTCTGACTTCAAACTACCATCGCCCCATTGTATGTCACATTCGACTACTTCCACATTACATACCTTAACTTTTTTTCTACCTTTGCGTCTCTCTCTTTAACATATTTGAAACGCTCCTCTGTTCCTCCCCCCCCCCCCCANCCCCCCCAATCGACTTTTTTCACTTTGATGTACCTTCCCCTCTGTGAGGCCTGAAGTCAACTAAAGGGCTAATGATAACTATTAAAATGCCTGCAATTTGATATAAATAAATGTTGTGGTGGATCAATGAAAATTATTGAAATGCGGTTTTCAAGGTGTTGACAATCATTCCGTTGTTGTCGCACCAGTTACCTAAAAGTTTCAATGCGTAATTTAGGGCAATTTCCGTCCTCTCCTGAGCGTTTTTCTTAGGGGTGAAATATTCTGCATGAAGTAAGCACTTGATGCCCGTGACTGTCTGTACTTAATTCGGCTATATCGAGAAGACATTGGAAAGAGTGCAGCTTGTGACAGCTCCCTGTGGAAGGCCTGTATGCAGCTTGTGACAGCTCCCTGTGGAAGGCCTGTTTGTAAGGCTGGGACAGCTCCCTGTAGAAGGCCTGTTTGTAAAAGATTGGATATTGACAGAGCATTTCCTTATCTGACTTTACTCGATCTGTGTCCAATGAATGCTTTTATCCAGTTTAGTATATTATGCTTAATACCAATTTTTGCCAATTTTAGAATTAGTTTCTCTTTCCATACTAAGTCATATGCTGATTTGAAGTCGACGAAAACAGCCGTAAGGGTATTTCTTGCATCAAGGGCATCTTTGATGTGTTGGGAGAAAGTGGCTACTTGTTGGTTCGTTGATCTTTGTGGCATAAAACCAGCTTGTTCACTCCTAAGAATATTGTTGGTCTCAAGGAACCAGGTCAGCCTCCTGTTAACCATTCTTTCCATAAGTTTAGCCAGCACGCTTGTGAGGGAGATAGGCCTATAGTTGTCAAAGTTGCTAGAGTCTTTGCCCTTTTTAGTACTGGTATTACTATGGCAGCTTCTATTGGCTAGGTACGAGACTGGTCTCCCAGATTTTGTTGTAAAGCGTCAGCATGGTTTCCTTGGCTTTTGGTCCCATTCTAATTAGAAATTCCGGATGAATACCCTCTTCACCAGGAGACTTTTTGCACTTTAGCTGTTTTATCACAGCATTAAGTTAGCATGGTCTGAATGTTTCAGTAAATACATTATTTGGTGTTGTGTCTTCCTTAATTTCACCAAACTGTCTTTCTTGCTACTTTATATCTCTTGAAGATTTTCTGACAAAAGGGTTTTCTAGAAATCTCTTGAAGATTTTCTGACAAAAGGGTTTTTCTTTTGCTTGTGTCTGACAAAAGGGTTTTTCTTTTGCTTGTGGGAATAAAACTTCGCAAAGTAGTTAGCTATTTCGGAGTCGGTGACGAGCAGTTTGTTGTTCAAGCTTATTGGCTCTTTCTTGGGTCTTTTCTTTTTGTTTTGGAGGTTACCCAGGAATTTGAAAGTGCGTTGACTACCATCTTGATAGTTTATGTTTGGGATGAAGTTGGCGAAGTTTGTTTATTTAACTTGTAAGATGGCTTTCCTTAGAACAACTGACTGCTCTCTCCAGGCTTGTACGTTCTTCCAGTCTGTTCAGCAGCGTTTCGAAGTGCGTCCCACTTTCTGTTCTGCCTCTCAAGATGTTCAGATCAGAATACTCTATAATGATTAGTCTTGCCAACAGGAATAGTTTTCTTTACACATCTGATCACAACATTTGGGATATTGTTGCAGTCAAAATTCCACTTGCTACTTGCTGATATATAGGTTGAAGGTTTAAGGTGTAACCAGGGAAATGATAGTATTTGAGTTTTTCATACCTAAGGTTGGCTTACATGATTGAGAATATGTCTACATCATAGGTATGCAGGGTTTTCTGGATTTGGATCTTCCTGTCTTGTGACATCCCTCCAGTATTCCACTGAAGGATCTGTAGAAGTCGTGATTCGCCCTAACAAGGGTGATTTCTCTTATAGTTTCGTTTCAGGCTGATCATAGTAGTTTGAAGTCAACTGCCCAGTTATAGACTTTCTTGTTGTATGAGTATACGTTATCCAGGGTGTAACACGTGGAGATAAGTCTATTGCACATCCCCATTTCAAAATTACAGTAGGTCAGGTAAGTAATTTACTAAATAAGGGTTGGTTGAATCAAAATTTGAATAGAATACTGACTGGTTTAAAGAAAAATAAAAATTATTCCACAATCATATTTTCGCATCAGTAATCTCCCATCAATTTATGCAAATTCAGAAGTGTTGTTTCGCTGCAAAAAGAGCGAACCACCTCTCAATGGACATCGAAAATTAAGTAAAAACCCTAACTAAAAGCCAATAGATCTACGGCAATTCTTTTCCCTTCCTCAGGATATTCACATTAAGGCATTTGATATCTAATGAAATAAATTCCAATTATCTAATAACTGTAATCACAGCAATCACACTTTTACACTAACTCTAACCTTTCTTGCCAAATCTTTACCTTTATATACAGTTTAAGACGGATATTTGATAGTTAATAACTCTATATAATATCACGGTTTTAATCAGCACTTACATTGAAATAGAATCGAACAAATAAGATCAACCTAGCTTAAATTAGTGCTAAATGAAAAATTTTTTAATTTGAATTATATTTACAAATATGGCATATATTTATTGAATTGAAACCCTGCAGGAATCCTAACTGAATCTATTTTATCAATCTGAACTTCAAATGTATTAAAGATATATGAATTTAACCATTCTCCTTTGATTAATTCATGAATGCATATTTTGATTATTCAGGAGCGTTGTTATTTAAAGCAGAATTATCAATCTGATCTTATGATATAATATGGACATCGAAAACACATTTTGCTCCTGCTTGAATACGACGAGCTAACTTCGTACCATATTCCCTTAAAATTTAAATTCGATATGCCAAACATTTGAGAAAAATTTTGTGTAAGATTATTGACAATCTCATAAGATTACGTCCTGCTTATAAAATCCGATCCAAAAGCTGACTAAATAAAAAATCATAGTCAATTCATCGAAGAAAGAATCATGGACAGAAATAAAACCATTATTAAATTCTATAATGGAGCAGATATTTAAACCATTTACATAATAAATATATTTGATTAATTAGTCGGTGAACCCGAGACGAAAGAATATGCTTTTATTTGAAGATTCTATATTTATATATATATATATATATATATATATAACAATTTTAAAAATATATATAGATCTGTTGAATAATCTTATTTTATTTAAACGAATTAATTTATTTAAAATAAAAATTTTTGAAAATATTTTGTTTTATGGTCAAGCGTAACTAAATTAAGTTATCGTTCACTTTTGTTTAAGTGTTTAATAACTTTCCCTCTAGCGTGTCTCATTTCGTTTCTTGTATATCAGCGGTAAGGCTCGTCGTCTGCGGTGGGTATCTGTGTAGATGGCATATTTTCAAATAATATTTGCCGTTTTATTCATTCTTAAGATACCTAATTTTTTTTATAGATTTAACAATGAACAACAATTCAATTAATAAAGATTTTGAAAATCTTAACATCAGCTCTGATGCCGACCCCAATAAGGCAAACGAAGTTAAGGAGCCGTCCAAGAAGCAGAACGTTTGGAAGGGTCGATCGAGAGCAACTGGACACAACACTGTGGAAGCTAAACAGAACGACATTGCTGGCGAGTCTGAAGCCTGGCCCGTTCCTTCTGCAAGTAGAGTTAATGCTCCGGTTGCTTCAAGCTCTGCTACTGAGCGTCCAAGAAGTACGTAAAATTATTATTAATTTTTGTTTGGTTGGTTTGTTGTTAGCTTCCTATTTTCTAATATAGAACGTAATAATGTAAAATGGGTTGCGGCTGATTTGCCTTTCGGACGAGGGGGTTCTCGAAACTCTCAAACCCCATCCGCAACTGATCACGGAGCTAGTAACTACCGTGGTGGAGGTCGTGCGTTTGGACGTCGAGGATCGATCAATGGGCCAATGCCCACTCGAGGACACGGTCGTAATGTCAATGGAGATTTTAGGCGTCCACGTCAATCAAACGATGAAAACGTTAATAATTCTCTCGAAAATGCGTCTGCTGCTGTTGCAACCAATTCAAGTCAAGAGAACGCACCAAAACCCGTTTCGGTGTCTGCTGCTGCTGCTCTATCTACCGTGAATTCTCGAGGTTCATATCAACCACGATTTCGTCGTGGAGGAGCGAATAGAGGAGCTTCTGCTGGTAATCGATTCCCACAGCCTATTCCCAATTCTACTATTGGAGCTGATGGTTTGGGTGGTGCTAAAATTAAACCTACACTAACAGCAATTCATCCTAGTGGACATTGTAAGTAGCTTGCCTATTACCTCATCATATTTTAATAATTATTTTAACATTCTTTTGTTTTTAACAGTGCCTCTCTTCTATCCCAATCCTCCTGTTCCACTTCCTCCAAGTTTATCACAAAGTGTCTTAATTCGACCTCGTGAAACTGCCGTTTTGGACAATGGGATTCCTCATGCTATGCAACAAGTAAATGAGGGTGGCCTTTACGTTAATACTGCTTCTGCTAATGCCAATGTCCAAAGTGTACCATCTGTTCAATCCCAGGCAAGTCCCTCAAGGTCGGTGCTTACCTTGGAAGAGTTTGTGGGGATTGTCAAATCAAATCTTGATGCAGTAATTGCACCTCAGGCTTTTGTAAATCACAAACATGTGAAGGATCAGCTACAGTCCGTACAAGTTCCAGTTGGTGCAATTAATGTGAATTTGAAGGTCGATGATTCTCTCGTCTATATTAGAGAAGAAATTTATCTTGCTCTCAATACGTCCTATACTAAGATGATGAAATTCAAGAATCGGCTAGACTTTATCAACCATCATATGTAAGTCAAAGTTTGATTTGAGTATCTGTTTTAAATTAAATCTTAATTTGCATTTTTGTACTTTTAGAAATCACTGGTTCTCAGAAAATAATTTGAAGGGTGACAGGTTCTTATACTGCCTTATTTCGGAGAAGAAAGGAATATGCCCGTTCTCCCGTTTGTTGCAATTCAAACGTTTAAGGATTGTTAGTACTGATATTGCAGACCTTGTTCAATTTGGCACTCCAGAAAATAATGTGGAAGTCACTTACGATGATGCAAATGCTCCAATGGGTTATCGACTTTTAATACCACTGCCAACGGAAGTTACATTTAATCTTAATACTGCTGATTCTACATCACGTCCTCAATCTGCTGTGGACATACCTAACCCTCCAAGTAACGCATCTCAAACTGAGTTCCAACCACTTCCTATAAACTATCCTTACCATAATTACATTCCTAATGTTCCGACTCAACCGATCCCTGGTAATTTTCCGACTGGTGCTGTATTCATGGATCCTAATGCCTCTGGATTTAATTATCACCCTGAGTCCCTAGGAAATAATGCTTATTCGGGATATGTATGGGGACAGAATTACCCACCTCATTCCCATGTGCCCTATATTCCCACATTGCCGACTCCTGGTGCTAATGCTTTTCCACATACGCGATTTCCTTTGTTTCCTCCCATGCAATATCCTACAAATGGGCCCTCTTCGTCTTTTGTTTATATTCCAAGCCCTCTCACTGTAATAGGTCCACGATCAGCCTTGAATACGGGAGTGGTTCGTCCTCTTGCGACACCTGGAAACCAACCAGGTACCACTGAAAGCCCTCCTCAGGATGGCAACCCTGATTCGAGTCAATAGATCTCTTATTGGTCTATTTCGTACTTGTAAATATATGTACAATTGTGTAGTCACCTTTCAAGTTGCCCTTGTCTTTCCTTTACGCTCATCTCTACGGTTGTTGCTTATGTTTTACTATCTATAAAACTGTATATTTCATTCGCCTGCTTCTCCCACATTTTGTATATCTGTTTGTATCTATCAAAACCCCATTTGTACACTTCCCCCTATTAAAATTCGCTGTATCTAGATGTTTTATAGCAGGTTGTAAATAGGAAAACAAAAAAAATAATCCCGTCTTTTTTCTGACTGTTTGGATGGGTAGTAAATGCACTGTGGTCTACCTTAAGTCATTTTGTCTTGATTAGCGGTTGAGTTTGAGTGATTGACAAATTGAACTTGCGGGTACTTAGCATCTCCCTCAAGCGATGTTATTTGGGCCTGCTGGAGTATTTTGGTCTTAGGCATTCTAACAGGTATTGGGTTTCTAAAGTTAACTAGGTTTAACCGCGTGGTAATTATGTTCACTGGTTAGGAATTAATGGCACCAAGTTGGTGACATCTAGCTTCTCAATGAATATAAAGTATCGTCAACTTTATATTCATGCATTTCCATTGTGCTGGAAGAAACTTCCTTCTAGACTGTTCAAAATAAACACAAAGTGAACACGGAAGGTTTCCCCGTGGTTTTACCTTACAAGTTTCAAGATCTTCTATTTACTACCTCTATAAAACTTCCGAGTCCAGATTTATGGTACTAGTTAAGATGAGATTATGGTAATAATAATGGTAGTGGGACTAACTTAATGTCACCAATTGTACAATAATTTTCCCAGTTATATTTTCTACTTCTCAAGGTGCGTGATTGGCTTACAACCATGTGGTACACCTTGGACAAAGTATACTCATACGGTAAAAGGTCTATAAACCAACCGTTGATTTCAAACCATCATGGTCGAAAATGACATACAGTGGGGTCATGGTAGTTTGAAGTAAGAAGTCAACTGCCGAATAATAGACCTTCTTGCCGTATGAGTATACGCTACCCAGGGTGCACCACGTGGAGGTAAGACTATCGCACATCCCACTCTTAGAGATATATTTGTTTATTTCAAATGGCAGGCGTTTTGATAGGCCTTTAGCTGACTTCGGGCTTCACAGAGAGGAGGAGGAACATCAAGTCAAATTTTAAGGTTATTTAAGTATTAATATTTTTGCATCACTTATTTCCTACCTTCGATTTAAAAGGTAATTCGTTTTCCTTCTAGTTGCAAATTACTGGTGACATAACTTGTCATATGACAGGTTACGCTATCACTATCACACCCACTATTAGTTCATTCTTCCCTAATTAGTACTTTGGTTTGATTATTTAATTCAGTTGTCACTTTACCTCTAAGATCAATATAATTGCATTTTCCTAAATGAAGTAACTTTGCCGCCATATTAAGCTTTATCAATATCCGCCTAAATGGTAATGTATAATTAAATTTGGAAGTCATCACAAATGCTTGATTTTGAATGTAAATTTAATTTGATTACCGCTGGCTGTGAACTAAGGCTGTTTCTAAGTTAACACCTCGTTAAGTAAGGCCATATATCAACAAATTTGTGTTTATTGTTAAGAACACTATCAGGTCACGTCCGTATTTTACACATTATTGTATATCTTTCTGAATTTAAGTTTCAATGCTCTAAAGTTGATAATATTAAACTTACGTATTAACTCACTCACCCCAACGTGTATGAGCTGTCCTGATTTTATGATCTTGTGTTCATAATAGTTCGCGTGACTTATTACGCACCAGCAAAATGATGGAACCCTACCAGGTCATGATTCACTGGACTGGTGTTCTGTTATGTGGGTTGCCTAGTATTCGAGCTCTGTCTAGTCAGGGAAAGGAGAAGTTTTAGGGTCAAAATGGGTCCACTACTCAATTTAACTCAGATTTCTATCACCAACTCCCAGTGGATTAGGAAGAATAAATGGCCTGGTTTCCTGAACCGATTCAACAATCAGAAGCATTTCAATATGCTAATTTGAGTGAAAGTGGGGATTCTTCTGGTGTATTTGTCAATTTTCATTGCAAAAGTTATATAAGTTTACCATATTTTAATCAATCTCTCTGATCATTTAATATAAGCAACCACCACATTATTTAAATCGATGACTAAGCACTTGGTTGAAAGATATCTAAAGTACTATATCAATTGTAGTGAAAGTCCATCTTGGTGCTCAGGAACTTAATTTAACTTGCTCTAATAATAACAAAGTACTTTGATTCTTAAATTACGATTTGTAGTGCATATTTGTTCGGCCTAAAGTATACGTACTATAAACCAGTTTGAAGTGGACCTTTCGTATTTGCTTATCCCAAAGCATCATTATAACCCAGATCTATGGTTCTCTGCACAAAATTACTCGAACTTATTTGTATTAATTTCTATTTAAGCTGGGCAAATATCTCAGGTGACCCCAGTTGTACTGTTCAGTAACCCTGTTGATTGCAGTAATTAAGGACGGTGTGGGGGGGGGGGGGGGGGCTTGATCGTGTTGATATAATGAGTCATTTATAAACCCGAAACTCAGTAATTGGGGTTGTGCAAACCCCCCCCCCCCTGCTCCACAAACTCCAAGACCTCAACGATTCTATGGATGTACTTTCTTCAGCTTTCAGAAGAAGCTGAGTTGCTACGCGCGCTATTAACGAATGTTAATTGTCTTATAGCCAAAGATCCGATTACAGATTAGAACAACATTATTTCGAGCTCCCACTAAATTGGGATTAATTTATTTGCTAATATAATGTAGTGGTAATAAATAGAAAATGAATTCAGTGACATGTTTCTGGGCAAAAAAAATTTCCCAGCAGTTTAGAGTGTTTGCTCAAAGTTGTTTACTTGGAACACATTAAGCTGCAGTGAAGGTTGAAATTCGTGGAAACTTTTTAGAGTACTTTAAAGTAACCCCCATTAAGTAGGCAAATAAATATACATTTCATTGATATATAAAGGTCAACCCAGTCGTTTCTGTGGAATAGTTACCTAACGTAGTCGGGTTTTTATTTCGGCCTAAGTACGGCCTGTTCGCATCTCATATGGGTCACCGCATTAATAATTCTCGAGGTCATTTGGGGAAGTAGCCTGTAAAATTCGTCTTGAGGAGAAATATTGCTGGCGATATACTCGAATTTGACCACATCTTTTATTGATAGAGTACGATTGCCAATCCCATTCGTAGGCGATAGTTTTAATCACTGTGTCTCCACTGCACATATTAGTACTATTACTACTCTTCAAAAAGCACGATCTGTGGATGAGTGCTTCTGTTTTTTAAAGCCATAAATCATAAATTTTCTTTAAGTTAAATAAATAATCAATGTAAGCCAGTCTGTCAATGCTATATTGCTCTAGTCCTGATGGTTACATTCTAACTAAAGCCATTCAGAGGTGAAAATAGCTGTTTTTCAAATCGATTTTAATTATCAATAGGATTTACACAGGGAATCCTCCCCGGCCTGATTAACTAATAATATGGAAGAAATGCATAGCATTCCCCTTCATGAGCATGGAAATCCAGTTCTGGAGTATTAAAGCCTCACCCCGAATTTTATTCAGAGACCTTTTGCACCAGAATATCAACAGTGCTGGTGAGATTCTATTGTAACCAGTTTTAACAAGATCGCAGATCATCCTGACTCAGCAATCTGACTGGCCAATTTATTACATTACCTCATATTTTTATTGCGGACTTATTGTACACCAGTGACGCCGAGACCATGAGTAAACTTCTCACAGGTAAGTAAATGGGTCATGGCATAATTGCCAACCGTACTAGTTCGGGGAGAGCTCAAAAATTACAAAGTTCTCTTCTGGGGTCCAAATTTCATAGAGACCATGAGATTAACTTTTTTAAATTTGCATCCAGTAATGTGGATATTAAAACTTTTACCCAAAAAGGAGTCACGGGAACTACTTCATCGGTTCACATCTTGTGATGTGGATGGTCAACCCCAATCATTAATTCAATACAGCTGGATGCGTTTTAAATTTCTCCTAAGGGTGACTCCAAGATAACTTCCTCTACATGGGTCAAGTTTTATAAACACTCTCGTCATAATGTTCTTCGAATGATTTCTCTCAATGAGCTAGAAAAGGTTTATTTCAACGACTTTAAAGTTTACTCAGTTCTTTATGCAGCTATTCATCTCACATGGCCAATTGTGTATGTAGGAATTCACTGCTGATTGGGGGTCTTGATTATGAAATATATTGGTTCCCTTCATGAAAAGAAAACAAGAGGAGGCAAGATGGTAGATAACTCGGTGGAGATAGAAGGAGGTGTGCAGAATAGTAAGGTAGATTAGTTGCCAAGTCTCGAACTGAAACGATCTTTCCTACAGGTTGCAAAGAATGGGATAAACAATTAAAGATTTGACCAATATGATGCATCGACAGGACACTTAGAGCTTAATTGAAACCAAAGTGTTAATAAGTGGGGCTTGGAATTTAAATTCGGTTATCGAAGTTCGACTTTAGGTAGTTGTCGGTTAGTAATTGATACAAATTAAAACTTGCAAAATTTTGTACTAAATTTGCCGTAAAATAAAAGGTATCTACGAATGAACTTTTCGATAGAAAATAATGGTTCTTTTTAATTCGTCTTTTCCTTTTTTTGAATTCACTTGTCAAGATTTTAATACAATTAATTTTCAGTTGCACTATTTTTAAGTGTAATATTCGCACCTACAATTTTAGCTTAACAAACTGACACTTAACGTAGAAGCCGATTTTCGGACACTAATGACCCGAGTTCGATTCGCCAGTGTAATGTAGATTTCAGGACTGATTCGATGGTGGTACTTTAGAGGGGAAATACCACACAATGTACCAATTAGGGAATTCACTTACCTTTTAGTGGCCTTCACCCCAAACACGGCATCGTAATGTTTCCAACGGACTTTATTTCTCTAATAGTACACTTTAATGCCATCAAACTGTACATAGCACCAATTACGTTC